AAGCTTATTATAAAGTCAATGATTATCTAGAAGATTGCACAAAGTGGGAATGAGTTGCACGCTCCAGGCATTTCAATATTGTAGTAATTGTTACGTTATATTACTCATTGTAAAAAAATCATATTTAAAAAAATAATCTAATATTAAAAAATAAATAAATAATAATTTCATATGTAAAAAAAAAAAAGACATGCCCGCTGAGTTTCTTGCCAATTCTTCTCAGGACGGAGGCTAGTTCTTGTGAATTGGCGGTAGTTTTTTTGACGTTCAACAAGTATGTACTTTCATTTATGTTGAATAAAAATTTTTGATTTGATTTGATTTGATTTGATTAAGATTAAGTTATGGGTCAATATTGAAGTCCCTGGACTGGACATCAGTTGGAGAGGCCTATGTTCAGCAGTGGACAGTAGACAGGCTGAGATTATTGAAGTCCCAAACGCTTAGCACAAAGGTACGATGTGTACCTAAATTTTTTTTTGTTGCTTAGATGGTTGGACGAGCTCACAGCCCACCTGGTGTTAAGTGGTTTTACTGGAGCCCATAGACATCTACAACGTAAATGCGCCACCCACCCTGAGATATAAGTTCTAAGGGTCTCAGTATAGTTACAGCGGCTGCCCCACCCTTCAAACCGAAACGCATTACTGCTTCACGGCAGAAATAGGCAGGCGGTGGTACTTATCCGCGCAGACTCACAAGAGGTCCTACCACCAGTATAAACTATCCAGTATCCACACTCAGCTGAACATAAATCTTTACCATTTTCAAGTCAGTGAGTCAAGTTTGAATTCAGTAAATCCTTCCTTTCGGTGTTTTTTCGCCGCCACGCTCCAAGAACTTAGAACCCGTCGGTTAATATACGAAGTGCAATGAAAGCACAAAAAGTTCGAAAAGTTGCATTTTTTTGCGTAGACTGGTGAACTAGTTTACGGCGAATCCGACCTCGAGTTTTTTTTATTGCTTAGAGGATGGACGAGTTCACAGCCCACCTGATGTTAACTGGTTACTGAAGCCCATAGACGTCTACGGCGTAAATGCGCCACCCACCTTGAGATATAAGTTCTAAGGTCTCAAGTGTAGTTACAACGGCTGCCCCACCCTTCAAACCGAAACGCATTACTGCTTCAGAGCAGAAATAGGCAGGGTGGTGGTTCCTACCCGTGCGGACTCACAAGAGGTCCTACCACCAGGTATTAGTCTATGTTTACTCGCAATAGAATGACGTCTATTTTAACTTTCACAGCGTGATTAATTTGCGATGGAAATAGTCGACCTATGGCACTGACCTGTAAAAGCTCAGAACTTATAAGCTATTGGTATTAAAAATAACAATTAGGAGTATTAAGTCATTTATGTAGCAAAATAGTGAGAGTATATTTTTGAAGTCTAAATTAGTACCTTGTTTGGTAATGTTAACAATGATAATACTGTTGAATATTTTTTTCAGAAAACGTAAAATCAGTAAAGGTCAGTTGCATACATTTACTGATGTATTTAAATCAGTGCTCGTCAGTAATCACTTAAAAAAAAAATAACATCTTCGCACGTGATTCTTATACCTGTTCTAATATTATAAATATGTATGTTGCTTATGTTAATAACCGCACTTGGGGGAAAAAAAACATGTTTTTAATGATTACGAAAAACATTCATACTTCTCTTTAATTGGAGCGAAGGCTAACTTAATATGGGAAATTTAAATATATATATTATATATGTGTGTTGTGGATTTTGTTCACGTTGCGGACGTGACGTCTTTTGATTTGAAAGAAAAAAAAAATTATTTGATTTGATTTGTTTTTTTACATCTTCCTAAAATTATTTATGGGCTTTCGTATATATTTCTATTTTGCGTTCAGTTAATGACGAAGTTATCTTTCTTTAACCTTGAAGATGTTGCACTGCAACAGTTTATCAGGTTATCAATCATAAGGGTTCTTGTCGCAAATCGTCTTGGCCTTAAAGACAAGATGCTCGGTGAACTCGTATCGAGCGATACGACAATGCCAGTACTCGAAAGACGTCGGCAGGTACTACATTGTTCTAAATAAATGTATTTATTTAATTATTTGGGAAACCAACAGTACAAAATAAACATTTAATTTAAAAAAATATAGCTAAAACAATAACGAAACATGTTTCCACCATAAATACGTACTTAACACGTGGTCACGTGCGATTTCCGCGATGTAGGAAAGATATTGTGTAGGTAATCAAAATTAAACCCGAATTATTTGTAAAAATTCCGTACTAACTGGGCAATGTATCATCGGGTAGGTTCGACCATCCTGCCTATATTTGTGACAAAATAATCTTAGGTTCTTATTTGATATTCGTTGTAACTCAACATGTGTTTGCTTTTTCGGTGAAATACAGTCACTTCCTTCCACCAGGAAGGACATTATTATATATAGGTATAAGACGGAAGTGTGGTTGCGGCCTCTTTTTTTTTATTCCTACCTAAGCTGATAGCCTTGAGAGGCTATGTTAGCGTAACCTAACAAGTAGGTGAGCTCACGGGGCTCAAACCTGACTACGTTGCTAACACTGGCCCTAGCAAGAGCAGTCTATCATCTCTCATCATCATCTACTACCGGATCGGAACGCGACCCTCTGAGAAGATCCGGCGAGAAACTCAGTGGGCTGTGTCTGAGGGTTAATTTACTCGCCGAGCCCTCCGTCGCAAGCGACGGGTTCGACGTGAACGATGACCGGTACTTGAGGTGCCTAAAAGCACCGTTAGTGGATCGGGAGGATCCGAAATGACGCTTAGGGCGACGTAGACTGTTTACCATTCGGTCCGCAGGATCGGGAATGATAATGGCCTCGAGGAATCGTGAAAGCCTTTTTACTGTAAAGTGAAATAATTATAGGAACCGGACAGTGTCACTCCAGTGCCGACACCCGATGAGGTCGATGTCTCCTTGTAGACCGTCCCAAGGTTCAAAAGAAAGACAAGTTGATATTACCGGTACGAATTCGCATCAATTCTCAATACATTACAAGAAACACAATAATATGATGAAAAGTTAGTATCTTAAATCGTTGTTCGACACGAACGCATAGGACGTCTTACTCATTAAGCTACGGCCTGAGGTAGCAGGGTAGCTATCAAGTCCGTAAAGGTATGAAAATAAATTTTTAAAGTTAATTTAATTAAATTCATTCAATTCGAAACATTTAGATCACAACGGATTTTGTTTTAATACTAACAAGCAATCGACTCGCGACTTCACCCGCATAGACTAAACTTCTCTTAAGTTTTTTTTTTATTGCCCTTTTATACACACGAGCATACGGCCCACCTGATGGTGAGTGGTTACCGTCGCCCATGGACATCAGCAATGGGCCAGGGGCAGAGCCAAGCCGCTGCCTACCGAAATATACATACATATAATAACTAGGGTCAGCCTTGTAGGCGTACGATAACAGTTTTATTTCTACTGGCGGCTCGCTCCGGCTCCGCTCGGGTCTTTAACTAAAATTTCAACGATATTTTTTGTAAATAATAATGTGTTCTACAAAGCCGTAGTATTTTATTTTATTCGATCATCAATAGTTTTTGCAGTGGACGCGATGTAAAGAATATTGTAGGTATTTTTACACCTTGGGTTACATTATTGGATTTTTAGTAAGGATCCCAATTTAAAAAAAAAAAGATTATAGCCNGCTCCGCTCGGGTCTTTAACTAAAATTTCAACGATATTTTTTGTAAATAATAATGTGTTCTACAAAGCCGTAGTATTTTATTTTATTCGATCATCAATAGTTTTTGCAGTGGACGCGATGTAAAGAATATTGTAGGTATTTTTACACCTTGGGTTACATTATTGGATTTTTAGTAAGGATCCCAATTTAAAAAAAAAAAAGATTATAGCCTATGTCACTTGGGAATAGTGTAGCTTCCAAACAGTGAAAGAATTTCTCAAATCAGTTCAGTAGGTTCGGAGCCTATTCAATACAAACAAACAAATCTTTCCTCTGTATAATATTGGTATAGAAGTATAAATATCACTTGACCCCAAATTCAGTGTTTTTGTCCAAAAATCGCCCAAAGAAATCCTATCGGTTAGTGAAAATCTTATCAAATTGCGTGGTTAAGAAGAAGCAAGCAAAGCATCAGACACAGACTGAGAGCGACTTTGTTTTACACTACACAGGAAAAAGAATACAGACGAAATTGATCCATAAACAAGATTTTAACTTTAAAAGGTTTTAATTATTTCTAAGAATCGCAGATACTTATACATTTGATTCGTACTAAAACTATTTTAAAGTTTAAACTAATTTTAAACCCTACGAGACACGGTGACAACCAACGCTAACAGATATCATTTTTATATCCGCTGCCTGCTTCTAAAAAACACCTAAAGCACCGGTCATCGTTCCCGTCGAACCCGTCGCTTGAGACGAAGGGCTCGACGAGTAAATTAACCCTCAGACACAGCCCACTGACTTTCTCGCCGGATCTTCTCAGTGGGTCGCGTTTCCGATCCGGTGGTAGATTCTGCGAAGCACGGCTCTTGCTAGGGTTCGTGTTAGCAACGTCGTCAGGTTTGAGCCCCGTGAGCTCACCTACAAACGTTAGGGTTACGCTGAAATAGCCTCTCAAGGCTATCAGCACAGGTAGGAAAAAAAAATCCATTTCCAAGAAGAACGTCATAATTGTCGGGAAACAAACAAGAAATTCATTCTTACGCGATGGTATTTAGAAAAAATGAAGTATTGAAATGTTATAACTGACGACCGCAACACCCTCTCGGGACACAGGGTGTAAATAATCTGTGCACTTAGAGGCGTCACAAAACGTAATTTCTTATAGTAGGTATTACTAATTAAGTACAATTAAAATCGTGAAAATATTCTTACAATGGCGTGTCTTTAATTTTAGGCGTTATCAACAAATAACCACAATCGATTTGAATTGCGAATATCGGTGGACAATATCTATGTTAATTTATCAACACTGTCTTCAGTTATTCAGTACTGTGTATAGAGGCGCGACGCTTACACGTCTTCCTCTTGATAATAAATCCATTAAATATTGTCAGCGCGAAGGAAAAAAATAGTTTGATTAAGTTTCGGCCGGTTTCATTGCGAATTCGTGTAAACAAAATAATAATTTCTGTGTTTATATTTGTGTTTGAAAACTGAATGATTCCTTGTGATAATCGCGGCGACGTTCGGTAAGTTTATCAAATTGTTTTTAAGAGACGGGCGTCTTTTTTTTGTTGTTGTTGTAATTATCTTGTTAAATAACTTCCTTATCAGTTAATATTTTACTTTAAACGTATTATCAAATAATCGTTTTGCTGTTAATTCATTTTTTGCACTGTTTGACTGCTAATTAACCTAAAGTAATAATTATTTATATGCGACAAAATATTTGATTGGCTACGACTAGGTTCGCGGTAAAGTCGTTAGAATTCTGCTTGTTTAAAGTGAATTCTTTATTGCAATTATTTTTGCGAGGATTACGCGATTTGTATCGCGATTTGTACTGGTCGGCCTATCATTGTTTTTTTTTTTAATCTCACGCAGGTACCTTAAATGTATACTCGTATTGTGTAGAAACTTGAATAAAACCCCAGTCAAATAGTTTGTCATTATTCCCGAATCCCGAATTAAAAAAAAATCGCTTGTTTGTAAAAAAGGTTTTATTTTGAAATCACTGACAGTTTCAAACATTAATTGATCCTACAGACAATAGTTAAGGACAGAATCCATTATGAAAAAAGAGAGAGAGAGACAGAGAGAGTTGAATCCTGATTTTAAGAAAGCTGAAGATATTTCGACCGCATTCCCAGTGCAGGAAAGCACATTCGGAATTATTCTTCATTACGAGTTTTAAAGTATTCATTGACTTTTGTTAGTAAAAATATCAAGCACTACTAGGATAATACGCTAAAATAATCAAACATTTTTACCGATTAAATAAAAATAATTAAGGCATTGTTAAATAAAAATAATTATACGTATTCTAATATATTCATAATAATTAAAGAAAATAGAAGTAAACGATAGGCACATTGAGATTGATAATTTAGTTTTTTAAAGGTTATTAGCAGAACATAACGTGTTATATCTACTAGGATAGTAATGTATATAGTGTTATATTTTTTAATAGAAATTTCATGTCTGGAATAAGAATAGTGGAATAATTAGTTTATCTCGGATTTCAAATTGATGACAGGGTTTTAAGCATTTTACGTGTTTACCCGTGCTTGTAGATATGGCAACATTAATGTCACCTCTTTGAGGCGTGAGTGAATTCTTAAATTTTTTATTGTTACTAACTACCCGCTCCGGCTTCGCTCGGGTGAATACTACTACTGAAAATAGATTATAGTAATTTTATCGTCGCAATCCTGCTGTTTAGTGGTGGTAGGACCTCTTGTGAGTCTGCACGGGTGGGTAGCACCACCCTGCCTATTTCTGCTGTGAAACAGTAATGCATTTCGGTTTGAAGTGTGAGGCAGCCGTTGTAACTACACTGAGAACTTAGAACTTATTTCTCAAGGTGGGTGGCGCATTTACGTTGTAGATGTCTATGGGCTTCGTAACCACTTAACACCAGGTGGGCTGTGAGCTCGTCCATCTAAGTAATAAAAAAAAAGCAAAGAATTTATAATTATCAAAACTCGCAACAACTACATAAAATACAATGCATATAATATGATATCTAATTGATAGTGATATAATTGATTGGCAGTAGTGCGGGTTTCTGTGTTAGAATATCTAGGGCATCTTGATAAGCGGTGGCTAGGTTATACCCCGGCATTGCCGATGTTTAAGCAATGGTCAACAGCAACAAGCACGCAGACGCCCAGGTCCTGTCTGATGGTAATTGGTCGCGGAACGAAATCCTCTCGACGATTTTAAATTAGAATTCTCTGCAGTATATAATGTAGTCGTCGTGGCCTAAAGGATAAGATGTCCGGTGAATTCGTGTTGAGCGAGGTACCGGTGTTCGAATCTCAGGAGGGTACCAATTTTTCCAATGAAATACGTACTCAACAATTGTTGACGATTGACTTCCACGGTGAAAGAATAACATCGTGTAATAAAAAATGAAACCCGCAAAATTATAATTTGCGTAATTACTGGTGGTAGGACCTCTTGTGAGTGAATGAAAAAAAAAAAATAGCGGTCCCCTACTACCGTAATATAATTAAAATAGGTAGGTATAAAACAATAGGCCAGATTAATAGTCGTGACCAAACCACGAGCGATACAAAAATAGGTGATTAAACTCAAAATAAAACAAGGAAAATTCCCGTGATAAATTATTTTTACATTAAGATCAGAAACAAATTACTCTTTATCATTGAGAAGTTCAATATTTTATGGCGTGGTTATTAAATAAAAACACTTTTAAATGGCGTAAAGGAACAGATGACCTGATATCAGGTCGACTGTTGCACTTGTGAGTCGAGTAACGATTATATTGCAATGGATTCGTGCTGGTTGTGAATACGTTCCTTAGACCAAGCTGTATCACGACATCTAACAAGAATTTATTTGCAATTTAATGTTCATTGAGCGAATTACTACTACTGGTGGTAGGACCTCTTGTGAGTCCGCACGGGTAGGTACCACACTCTGCCTATTTCTGCCGTGAAGCAGTAATGCGTTTCGGTTTGAAGGGTGGGGCAGCCGTTGTAACTATACTGAGACCTTAGAACTTATATCTCAAGGTGGGTGGCGTCTTTACGTTGTAGATGTCAATGGGCTCCAGTAACCACTTAACACCAGGTGGGCTGTGAGCTCGTCCAACCAAGTAAGAAATAAAAAAAAAGCTTACCTCACGCGTAAAAAAGGTTAGCACTAGCGTTACTTTTACATTGGACATGAACACGTGAAAACTGCCCCTCGCCTTGAAATAAGAGGCCAAAGTCTCTTATTGCGTAAAGTCTGTCCCGCCTATCCCGTCGAAATCAGCAGGACGATGATACCTATCCGCCCAAGCAAATGTTTAATATCAAATTGTCAAATTTAATTGTGTATGCGATCTCTCAATCAGCTTTCTCAACTCAAAAGAAACAAAAGAGTAAATCGGTAAGGTTGTTGTTCCTTTTCCTTTTCCTATTCTGGAGACGAAGAAATTAATGTTTAGTTATAACATTAATTTTTCTCCTCATTCGACTCTGCTTTAAGTTTTTTCACCTTAATACAGGCATTGCCTTTATCAAATCAAATCAACTCAAAAAAAGTTTATTCAACATAAATGAAAGTACACACTTGTTGAACGTCAAAAAGAACTACCGCCAATTCACAAAAACTAGCCTCCGTCCTGAGAAGAACTGGCAAGAAACTCAGCGGGCATGTCTTTTTTTTTAAATATTAGATTTTTTTTAATATTCATTTTTACAAGATGTATTGCAATATAACGTAATTGTAATATAACGTAACAATTATTGCAATATTGAAATGCCCGGAGCGAGCAACTCATTCCCACTTTGTGCAATCTTTTAGATAATCATTGACTTTATAGTAAGGTTTATTGCACAGATTTTCTTTAATAGTTTTATTAAGCCTATGGATATGTAGGTTTTCAACATCTCAAATTGAAACATTGAAGAGACGACTGCTTTTTAGCGATTCCGAACCGGTGGTAGACTGCGAAGCACTGCTCTTACATACTAGGACCAGTGTTAGCACATTCCTTACCCATCAGTCTTTTTTTATTGCTTAGGTCGGTGGACGAAGTCACAGGTTACCGGGTGTTAAGTGGTTACTGGAGCCTATAGACATCTACAATGTAAATGCGCCACCCACCTTGAGATATAAGTACTAAAGTCTCAGTATAGTTACAACGGCTGCCCCACCCTTCAAACCGAAATGCATTACTGCTTCACGGCAGAAATAGGCAGGGTGACAGTACCTATCCCTGCGGACTTACCACCAGCGACAGAACAGCCAGAATTGCTTCTTAAGATAGGTAGAAGAGAAAGAAGAAAAAAAACGTTATTTTTAAATTAGTGTCTCACTTCGGGCAGACACCTTATTGTTTTTTTTTTATTTATTTATAGAAAGGTAGCGTTACTGGCTTTGAGGTCTTTCCAGTTTCACCAGGGCAGGTTGGCGAGCACGGGCTCAGACCTCATTGTGCTGTTCAAAATCGGTTTTTCATTTGCAGTGGATTTTTCGGTCGTTAACATCAAAGAGGTACTTAGTAAATTTGGTAGGTATGTTGCGTCCTGAGGTCAGTGTAGATATTTGTTTACGTTATCTTATCTATTAGTCTGATAGCATTTTGAATACTTCAATAGAATGAAATCTATTTATTATATGTACACTATACTAAATTCAATGTGTTCGTCCTCTGTGTATTTGGTAGGAAAATATTATGACTTAATACTCAACTACATTTTATGTTATTAATTTTTGTTTGCGCATTCTGATACTGTTTGAAGTCATAAACCAATATAAAAAGAGCTCCCTTACATGTTTATTCAACTTGTTGAACAAATAAAATTCATATTAGTTATTCGTTATTTATTGTACCTCGTTATTTATTATCTTGAAGCGTAAATAAACCATCACGTTCAATAAAAAAGAATAAATATGAAAGCATTGTTTTAGCTCTGTTTATTTTTAATTGTATTAATGCAGAAAAAGAATATATTGTATACCGCGCAGCGGAACTTTGTTTTGTATTTCAAAGGAGAATAAAATGTTTTAAAAAAACAACTCTGACATTGACTAGGTCAAGTATAAATTAGAATTTTAAGCCTTAACTGCGCAGACAGTTTGCCGACTTCATTGCAACCGAAAAAACCAAGTGTAACAAAGAAGTTTGATTGATCTGTTATCAAATATATATTTTTTATTGCCCTTGTAGACAGACGAGCATACGGCCCACCTGATGGTGAGTGGTTATCGTCGCTCATGGACTTCAGCAATTCCAGGGGCAGAGCCAAGCCGCTGCCTACCGTTAAGTACTCTCCACAAGCTTTGTTTGAAAAAGGATATGTCATAGCGCTCGGGAAACACCTTGGAGGGGAGCGCATTCCAAAGCCTTCCCTATTCCCTTCTATGTCTTACTTTTCTAATGACTGACTTGGTGGCGCAGTAGCTAGCGCCTCTGACTGTTACGCAGAGGGTCGTGGGTTCGATTCTCGCATCGGGTAAACATTCGTGTGATGAACAGGCTTGTATGCTCTTTGTATGAGGGCGCTTATTA